AGTGAGTCAGAGTCGGATGGGGAGGAGGACTGGGGAAATCATGAGGTGACTGTACCACTGCCCACGAGCGCAGGTTTCGGTGGGGTGGGGGAGGGAGTGGATTTCAGGGGGGAGCAGGTCGTGGGAGGCCAAGTGGAGACTTAGCTGGCTCTTCCAAGATACTTGATCCTAAAGGGAGTTAAACTGAGGAGTGAGGAGGTAATCCAAGGAGAAGGAAGGAGGCAGAAAGAGAAGAAGGCAGAAGGAGGTGAAAGAGAAAGAGGCGAAGTGGACCAAGTGCTGACAGTAGAATTTTTCTTAAACTACAGAAAAGGAGAAATTCTTCCTCAGCAATGGGGCTGAGGACAAAGCACAGCATCTGTGTGACCAGTCAGCTCATCGGGGCAAAGTTCCCTGGCTATCTAGAGGACTGGCCAAGGAATATTCTAGAAACTTCTAGAGGGATGGCTTTTCCAGCATATCCTTCAGGCAGGCTTCCACCTGCACCTGCAACTTAGGTTCCCACAGGCAAGGGCCTGTGGCTGCCTCACCTCACATGAGATGCAGGAAGAGCACCTCAGCCAGCTACTCTGCCGTCCCCCATGGTCTCACCCATCCTCACCCTGCTCAGCATCCTCCCCTGGACCTGAAACAGCTCCTCTTGGTCCCTACTGATTCTTACTGGGCAGTGCTAGACAATAGCTTACAAGACCAGGAAAGCAAGGTCATGCCTCAGCACAGAAACATGACTGGAGGAATTTAATTTTTATTGTCTGAAAGACAACAGAATATAACATGGGAGATGGAGGGCTTCTTTAGACATTTACTGAGGATTACTATTGTTTTTATTTTGAATTACGTATCGAGGGAGGAACCACAATTCTTTCCACGCATAGAGACTCTGAGGGCTAAATCCGGCCCTGCCCTCACCCCTCTACACTCAGAGCCAGGAGGCTGTGGCAGCACAGGCGGGGAGAGGCAGGGAGAACAGCTCAAGAAGGGTACAGGGAATCCCAAAGGGTATGTGCGCCTGCTGGAGTGTTTTTGTGTGCGTGCGCACCGCTTGAAAGTTCAAAACATGCTGGAACATGGAAAGAAAGGTATTTGCCTGGGGGACGAGGACGTGTTCCAGCATTTTCCCACAGGCTCCTGCACATCCCAAAATAACTGCAGCCCTGGAGCCTGGCCATTGGCATATGATTACTTTTGTATAAGGTTACAGAGCAGCAGTCAGGCCACACTGGCTTGGGGGCTTACAGGAATCTGCAGCCCACAGTGGAGCTACCAGCCAGGCTTTCTGGCTGGGTGGGAAGAGGGAATACCAAGGGCAGAGAACACAGCAGTAATACACACGCACTTACTGGGATCCCCACACCACTGGGAGATGCCTTCCTTTCACGGATGGTGAAGGCCCAAGGAGAGGAGACAACTTGCCCTAAATTACATATCAGGGGATTATAAGAGGGAGTAGGTGGAAGAAGTGGCCCTAAAATTACTTCTCCTCATTCATGCATTTAGCCCTGGAACAGAACATTTTAAAGGGATTTGTGTGTGCGTGTATGTGTGTGCATGCTAGAAATCAAACACAGGGTCTTAGACATACTAAGCATGGACTCTACCGCTGAGCTACTTCCTGTCACCCCTCAAAAGTCCCTCAAAGGGACTTTTAAGAACCCCACCCCCACCCCAGCCATCCAGGATACCTACATACATGGGTTTTGACAACAGTGTGGCCCAAATTGGCCAAAGGGCTTTGGGAATTTGAAGAAAGTCTGAAAAGGCCCAAATGGGGAAGGATTTACCTTGCTCAGGGTAAGCAAGATCTAGAAAGGAGGGTAGGGAGTTGTTATGGCTTGGGTTTTGATGTCCCCCCAAAGCCTCAAGGAGGTCATGAGTGAGTAAATCTAAAGGGTATGATACTGAGATTAAGGGTGTGTGCTTACCAAACCACTACAGTGAATGGTTTAGCACCGGCCTAATCCTAGTAGTCTGAATAAGATAAGAGGGGCAGAAAGACAGTTAAATCTCTGTTGTTGCCTTTGCTATCTTGGTCGTGCCATGTTGTTTCTCCTCTGAGATGCCTGTTTGCCATCCTGCCTCAGAGGCAGCCAAGCATGGATTGAAACCTCTACAAACTGTGAGTCAAATAAATCTCTTCCCCTTAACTTTGGGTATCAGGTATTTTGTGTCAGCAAGGAGAGAAAAGTAACTGACACAAGAGTGCAGGCATCACAGGTGGGGCTGAGGTAGAGCTGGGGAGGGGGGCGGGTCACGTAGGTAAAAGGAAGAAAGGGGGTACAACAGAAAACCTGGCACCAAACCTAGGGATCCAGACTTCATATGTTGAGGCTACCTGTGGCTTTCAGTGTAGACATCTTCACTTACAGATTCTCAACTTACAATAGGTTATATCAATAAACTCATCATAGTTAAAAATACTGTAAATCAAAAATGCATTTACTGTACCTGAACTACCATACCTCCTAGCTCAGCAGCACAGCACCGTGTGGGGGACCAGTTGCTTCCCTCTGGGATCACAGGTCTGTCTGGGAGATGCAGCTCACTGCCACTGTCCAGCACATGCATGAGATTTGTACCACATATTCTCAGCCCTGAAAAAGATCAGAACTCAAAATTCCCTTTCACATCATCCTAAAGTTGAAAAATCCTAAGTTGGAAGTTACTTGCTTCATCTAAAAAAATGGGAAGAATCCCATAGGACTTTGAAATACTATTTTTAAAATGCTGGGCTGGAGATTTGGCTCAGTCATTCTATTGCCTGCCTCGAAAGTGCAAGGTCCCGAGTTCGACCCTCGGTTTCAAAAAATAAAATAAAAAATGCTCTCTGAGTTTGGAAAGGCAAAAGATTGTTCTCAGATTTCTGTGGCAATTCAATACCCTCTCCTTCTTGACCACCATGGCTCACTTGGACTATGCATGCCTTGTGGGCCTGGATTCAAGTATTTCCTCTCTGTTCCTGGCCTTGAGAGGGAATACATCACTTCCTGTTTCCTCAGCTGTTAAATATGGATGTTAGGAATAGCTGACTCTTGGCATCTCCTGTGTCACTTTCCGTTCTGTGGAAGTAGGAATCATTTTTCCCCCATTTTACAAGTGAGGAACCCGGAAGGGAAAAGCCCTGTAAATTCTCATTGTTGCAAAGGTGATATAAAGGTCACACTGTGATTTGTGCCCAGGAGTTCTGATGCAGGTGTCCAAGAACTCTAACTCCTGGAGGGGCCCTGACAGTCATGCTGGTAAAGGCCTTAAGAGCCAGCTCGATGCCTGCTACTCACGCAGGGCCCAGCCAAGCCCTTGACTCACCTAACCACTGTTCTGATGCCCTTATTACATTTTCCCTGCCCTGATGCTCATGTGACATCTAACTGGGATGAATGAAGACATTTGAACTATGTTAAAGAGCTACTTATGAGTTAGGCTTAGTGGCACACACCTGTAATCCCAGCAGCCTGAGAGGCCGAAGCTGCAGGATCCAAAACTGAGCTCAGCCTGGGTAATTTAGTAACTCAGGGAGACTGTCTCAACACGATAAAAATGGCTAGGGATGTAGCTTGTGTTAACACCCTGGGTTCAGTCTCCATTTTCACATACACACATGTGTGCATGCTGCATATAATGTTTAGTGATAAAAATACTATCGACCCAATTTGATAACAGCTCAAGTCTTAATGTTATTGGAGGTCCACTGAGAATAGAAGCCCAAATCCCAAAAAGAAGCGATTACATTCTTTATTTCTGGTTCATTTTTTAAATAGTCCAGTAGGTTTCTTTTCCCATGTACACATTTGAGTTTCTAGAATCAGTGGCATGTCGGCTTGTTCTCCTCAAATGAGTTCACTCAGGAATGATGCTGGCAGCCTCCCAGCAGAATGACTTCAGTCTTCCTCAGCAAACTGACAGTGGCAAGTATAGCGGTGTGTATTTTTGTGTGGCATCGTCAGGCACCAATATTAAACTCAATACAGTCATGAGAAATTCAGCTCAGGGACTCTTCACATTTCTCGCTGAGAGTTCCAAGGTCTCTGACTTTCCTCTTTCTTCTCACCTTTATTTGGCAAGTAATTACAGAACAAAATCCAGTTTATTTCCACATTTCGGGCTGTGGTCCTTCCCACGCTTTAAGAGCACAGACTGAAAGAACGACCTTCCACCCAGTAGCTGCTGAGTACATCTGGCCCTTAACCCCAGAGGCTTCTAGGAACCCAGTTAGGGAAGATAAACCTGGTCCCAGCCTGTCTTGGTGACTCAGAGGTGTCAGATAAAGATGACCCCAAAGCTCCTGGAGCACATTCCCAACCCTCAGTGACCCAGACTTCATGAACACTTTGGCAATGGTGGAAACTGGCTTCCTCTGTGCACCTGTGAACCATCTCGGCCCTGCAGCGAGGCCTGAGGGTGGCCCCAGGCCAGGAAGGCAGAAATACTGCCAAAGTGGTAACCTGGCGGCTGGCCGGGGCAGTCTGCAGGCGTGATGTGGCAGGCACATTCCGTGACCCGAGTCCATAGGCCCAGCCCCAGGTTCCGGCTCTGTCTGAGACTGACAAGTGACCAACTCATTCTCGGGAGCCTGGCAGATAGAGACATTAATGTTTCCCAAAACAGGATTGTAAAATCATGCACCATTTATTTCTAAAGCCAGGGACAATCTTCATGTCACCACTCTTCAAAGTTTTACAAATCATACTCACACAAAACTGAGTTATATAATTACTTTATTTTTTTCCTCTTTGCAAATATAACATTAAAGTCATCCAACATACAGATAATACTATAGCTCCTTACACATCTTATTCTATCTAAATTTAGATATTTGAACTACGAGATGAAAATCATCCCATTAAAATGGCAACATTTCCAAAAAATGCATTTCATACTTTATGTGATGGGAAATTGACTCCCCATCTACCTCCCCCGCAAATTCCTTCAGTCCAGAGCTATAGGAAGACAGTTCGCAATCGCGGCTAACATGTGGTGCCCATGCACAGAAAGGGACCCGAAACAATAAGCAATGGGGTTAAACTTCTGAAACAAGCAACTTCTTTATCTGTACAGAATAAGAATACAGAAGAAAAGCATCATTTTCCTTTTAGCTCTTGTATTAGTATTTTGCCTCCACCCAAATTACTGTGTACCAAGTGACTACAAATAATAAAAACCAACTGACTTAAAGTTCCTGAAATACATGCAACTTAAAATTCCCTAAAGCACACGATCAGTTCCAAGTCTGATTCCGACTGCGGGTCGACTATGGTGTGAGGTTGCCAGCTGAGTCCGTGGTGCTGCTAGGGTTTGCAGCTGTTGCTTCTTTGGCTTCTGGCTGCTGGGTTTCAGTTTGGGGATCTTCATTTCCGGCACTTTTCTTTCCTTTGTCTGCTGCCATGGCATTCATCCCCATGATCTCCTGAAGTGGCTGATTGGTTTCAAGGTTGCTTGGCTGGAGTTCATAAACCTGGACTTGACCCGGGACATCAACTGCTTTCTGTTCGAGTTTTTCCAAGATGGTCTGAACCTTTCTGACACCATCTCTCCTGGCCTGACGCACATCAGCTCGTCCTTCAGGGTCCACAGAATCCAGGGCAAGCAGCTCTTTGGTCAAATACTCTTCAATCATCAGGTACTTTTTGTCAGTTTTCTTGCCTTCGAAGTTGTCTACAGCTTGTTCCAGCCCCTGCACCTTCTCCAGGATGGCTTCCACTTTCAGAACACCCGGATGTTTCGGTGGGGCCTCAGCTTCTGGTTTGGGGGCTGTAGTTTCTGTAGGAGCAGGGCTGGGGGATGCCTTCTCTTCTGCAGCCACATTCTTTGGGGAAGAAGGGACAGCAGAAGGGGTGGGGCTGGGAGAAGGACAAGGGATTGGAGCAGAAGGGACCTTTACTTCTACCTTCTCAGAGGGAGGGGGTGGCTTCTGGGAAACAGACTTAGAATCTGCCTCCTTGCAGATCACTTGAATCGGGATGTGTCCAGCAAGGAGATCTGGTCCAGCTGGGCCTGGCTTACTTTCTGGTTTGTTTTCTGGTTGAGTGACAGGAGGAGACTCTCGATGGGTCATGGGCTGCTGAAAAAAAAAAAAAAATGGATACAGAGGTATTATTAATAACTGGCTGAAAGTCACAGGCAGCTGACCATAGCTGGTATCAACTGGAAAGAAAATAGGAAAAAAAATTTTTTTTAAGTTTACCAATATAAAAAAATTTCAGAGTCAACCAACAACCAAATTTTAAATGTAGTATTAATCGTCTATATGACTAAACCATTTTTTAAAAATTTCCATTGATCACTCTGGACTATTTGTTACCTCTCACCGAATTACTGTGTAGATGGTATTCTTATGACAAGGGAGTGGGGACAATATAGTTATCAAAAATGAAAAGAGCCAAACCTCATGCTGACCACTGAACAGGGTTTGTTCACAGCAGTCTTGAGTGACTCTGACTCAGGATGCAAGCACGGAGTCACTGTCCCTGATTCTCTGTCCTTACTGTGCAAAGTCTCCCCCTGTGGTGTGACCTTTTCATCTCCTACTTCAGAAAAGAAATTATCTTTTTTAAACCTGTGATAGCCTGTGGATGTGGTGCCACACGCCTGTTATCCCAGCACTAGGAAGGCTGAGGCAGGAAGATTGCCAAGTTCAAGGCTACACAATGAGTTCAAAGCCAACCTGAACTACATAGTAAGGCCCTGTCTCCAAAAACAAAAATATGGTTATTGCGACTTTCCATGGTAGCCCACACTGCATTTTCCAGATAGAGCATGTACTTTGATTTTTGCTTTTATCTTCTTTTTCTCTTGTTCTGCCCAGGTTTGCTCTGCAGAGCTGGTTTCTCCCATACCTCTTCACCTCTAACTTTTCAAAATTTTGGCACCATTAAAAAACCAAACAAACCAGTGGTGGCAAGTCTATGCAGTGTGTGCCGAAGCAGGCTATTTATTATTGAAAGCTCTAAGGTTCACCATCACTGGCCTGGACTAATGGTTTCTGGCCAGACTAATCTATTTTTTAATTTTAATTTAAATTTTTTTTTGGGGGGGGGTCTTTTTTGAGTCAGGGTCTCACTATGTAGTTGAGACTGACCTGGAACTCACTATGTAGTCCAGGCTGGTCTCGAACTCACAGCGATGCTCCTGCCTCAGCCTCCTGAGTGCTGGGATTACAGGTGTGTGCCACCACGCCCAGCCTGGTGTTTTTGTTTTTTAAACTGGGGATTAAACCCAAAGCCTTCTCATTGAGCTACACTCCATCCTTTTCCTTTTTCTTTTTTTTTTTTAATTTTGAGACAAAGTTTTGTTAAGTTGCCCAGGCTGGGTTCAAATTTGCTATCTTCCTGCCTCAGCCTTCCAGAGTGCTGGGATTACAGGTGTGTGCCACCATGCTCAGCTACGGATGGCTTTTTCTTATGAAAATATCTGCTGATGTAATTAGGAGTACAGGTGCATGATATCTACAACTAACTCTAAAATAGTGATTATATGGCGGGAGGGGAGTGACAACGCCTACGCAGCAAAATGTTAGCAAACAATGAATTTGAACTAAGGGCATATCATACTTTGCTGTATAAATCTCACAACTCTCTTTTAAAGGATGCACTTATTTCCAAAACCAACTGTAAAATTAGGATTTTTTTTTTCTTTTCCAGGTCCTTAGATTGTGCCGCTGCTTGTAGGGAGAAGATGCCCCACACTTATTCATGGGTCCTTTGGAGGGGAGGGAAAACAGACTGTGCTGGTGTTTCAGGGAGCAGGTTCAGCCCAAGCAAAGTCATAGAGAAGGGAGTAAGTGGCACAGACCTGCAGAGCGGAGAAGCAGAAACAGCGAGGAGACGGGTTACCTGGCACACTGGGTGCCGGCGGTGTTTGGGGTGCAGAGCGCACAGAGGAACCTGGTCCCAAGTGTGAAAGTGACGGCAGAAGCTCTGCCTCATTGTTTCCTCAGCCCTAAAAGCAGCCACGGTGGAAAACAACCAGCTGAGCAGAAGCTGCAGAAAGTACTGAGAGTTCATGTCCCCTGTCGTGCATTTCTGCTGTGGACCAGCAATTTCTAGAACCTCGCTTTTTTCCAATTTTATTTACACTAACTCAGCAGAGCTGAAGGGGATGTCCAGGGCACAGAGAGCTACTCAGTGCCTGGAGCTCTGATGCTTTCACAGCTGTGTGCGAGCACCTGGCTTCCCTACCTGAGGCCTGTCCACCACAGTGTGCACACGGATGGGTGACGGGGAGTGCACTGGTGTGCTGCTTCTGGCCGGCGAGCCCTCCCGGCTGGATGCGCCTCGGACCGGTGACCTAAACGGCGAAGCTGCCCGCCGGGGCTCCCAGTCATCCCCTTGGATCTTGTGGTACACAGGCTGGTGGGTCTGGTATTCGCCCTGCTGAGCCGGGTAGTGAGTCTTCTGGGCTTGGTGGAAGGAAGGCTGGGCTGCCGGCCGGGTGACATTCTGCTCATGTATCACTGGGATGGGGATGTAGCCCCGGGGCAGCGGGTGACTGCCCAGGCTGCTCCTGCCCGAAGAGGGCAGGCTGGCCGAGGAGGACGAGGATGAACAGTCAGAGGCAGCTGGAGACTGGGACCGCTGTGAGAGACAAAGGATAGAGGACGCGCCGTCCGTGAATGATACGCTGTTCTGGCAATCCAGCCTTCCGACATGCACCTGCTCCCCAGCACCTTGCTCCCCAACATCTGCCACCTGGGAAAGGTTTCCACTCTCAAACTGCAGTGCTAGGGGTGGGGGGTGTTTCAGGGGTAGAGTGTGAGCCTAGCACGAATGAGGCCTAGGTTCCACCCCTGGGACTGCAAAAAACTATTAAGACTGAGAACTCTGGAATAAAGAAGACTGGGTTCCAATGCTTAGCAGCTCAGTAGCTTTTCCTGAGCCCCATCTGAATTGAGAAGAATAACAGCCCCATCCACAGCTGTTGTGAATTCCGTAGAATCATCTGTGTACACTCCGCACACGAGCAGCGCACACAGGAGGTGTTCACCCACTGTGTCTGTTGTGACTACATATCCTCTCACGCCCCTTTCCTTAACCCTTTCTCTAATCCAGAAAGAACCAGCTGAGTAATGGGGAGCTGCATTCCTCTGTCCAGCCCAGGGCCCCAGGCCAGATCCCTTTCTCTTGTGGATCCCATTTGTCTAGAATATGAAAAGGGTGTCTCCCCAGTTGAAGTCTAAGGATCTTTTTGTTTTGTTTTGTTTTGTTTTATTTTTTGAGACAGGGTCTCACTATGTAGTAGAGACTGATCTGGAACTCACTATGTAGCCCAGGCTGGTCTCAAACTCACAGAAATCCTCCTGCCTCAGCCTTCCAAGTGTGGAGTCTAAGGATCTTGTTAGTTTAAATTTCCAAAGATTGATGTGTCACTGATTTTTGCAGCAAAAACATTATAAATGTAAGTGTCGCCTCTCCAAAAATGCTTCCTTGTATCTCATGTTTAACCACAACTTTTCACCCCCAAGCAGGTGGTGAAGCCAAACAGATTCAGAACAGAGAGGCAATCACAGTGCTGGGTGTAGGCAGGAAATGAAAATTTGTGCTCAAGAATAATGTCAGTGGACTGGAGGGGATGATGAACAGACAGGAAAATGAAGACAGCTTACTGCTAAGAGCCAGATTAGCAACTATTCTTTAGCTATTAATGCGCTCTACTAATGCAGTGAATCTACCAGCACACCCTGAAGTGCTGGGCTTTGGGAATAAAACCCTATCTCAGAACTGCTGCCTTCCTAATTCCTATTTGAGATTCCTTTTAAACTGTGGGTGATGCTTTGTTTTCATTATCAACATAGCTCTGAGCAGTTTGTATTTCTCCATAAGTATCACACTGACCAAAATAATAATACAGCTCTCTCTGAAACAAAAAGCCCAGCATGAATAGGGAATACCACAATCAGAAGCCAGGAGGCCAGGCTGGTTCTAGCTCTGCTACTTCTACCTTTACGCATCTGAAACAATCAGTTTATAGTTTATTCTCTTGGTTCCAGTTCCTTAAGTACACAAATAAGCCATGTTGGGCTGGGGACTTAGCTCAGTAGCACAGCACCTACCTTGCAAGTGCAAGGCCCTGAGCTCAATCCCCAGTACTAAAAGAAAGAAAGAAAAAAAAAGCCATGTGACTCCCGAGCAGGCCACATGGAAAACACACCTGTGAAACACCTAGGGATAATGTGGGGCTGTCAAACTGTCTTTGCAGGGGGACCTGTGATGCTGCAGGGGAGGCCCAGCCCCTGGTGTACAAACTGGCGCTGGGCCCAGGATGAGCAAGGCCTTGCCTTACCTCAGGTCCGTGGGAGGCTGGGGGCGGAGCTGCTGCAGCTGCTGCCACGGGGCCACACTGTTTATCTGACTGGGTGGCCTCTGGCATACCACGCAGAGGTGACTGGGACCTCTGAGGAGCGGCTGCCGCCGCCTCGGTTCGGAATCGCTGTGTCCCAGGCTGGGGATAGGCACGGAAATGGTGTGGCTGCCGGTTCTCAGAGCCTTCGTGGAGGACCGGAATGGGAATGTAGCCTGGCCGGAGCTGAGGATACACAGGATGGCCTTCCCTAGTAAGCAGCAGCCTGGACCCCTCCCGTGAAGGGCCATTGGCAGAAGATGCAGTTTCCTAAAATAAAATGTGGAGAAATAGATTGATTAGAGACTGGAAAGAAAACAACCCTGAAGAGGAAATAGTGGTGCTGAGTCCTGTGATCTTCCAGTGGTTGGACAGCGAAGCACAGGGAGCCCAGCTACTCCACAGCCCCTGCTTCTGCAGCGGTGTAGGTAGAAGAGCTGCTGGCTGTCCCGCAAATCTTCAGAGTCCTAGACCAGAAGGTGATCCCCCAGGAACAAGAGTCAACTCCCAGAACGAAATTACAGCAAGCTTCTCTTCTTCCCAAAAGGCCCTCAAGGTTCCCAGAGTTTGTAACAGATCCAAACACAGCACAACCTGGAAATCTTTACAGAAAAGTGAAGGGCGAGGCACTGCTCTCTCGGGAATATTGTTAGGACAAGCTCCAAGGGAGTGAGCTATGCAGGAATGCAGAAGCGTCACAGGAAGGGAGCAAAACCCAGGAATTAATGGTGCTAGTGTTATGCCAACTGACAAGAGTCTGGCAGCCAAACTCCTGAACCACTCAAGCTTTGCCTGGGCCCAACTGTGCACTTCCTTATGAGATCCAGTTTTAGCAAAAGAACCCTGCTGAATCGGGTGAGCCAGAACTTCCCTCCTGCCTGTGGTATCTGATCATCCTCGGTTATCTGATCAGGTTCCCTGACTCAACTGCCCCCACGCCAGGGGCTTCTGAGCACCCTGGCCGGTCTGAAGCAAGAATCCTGTTAGGTCAGTTTAGCCAGAATCTCCCTTTCCCTGGATGTTCGTTCCTTTTAGTTGTTTTCCATTCACTGACCCTCATGCTGCTGCCTGGCTACAAATTCCCACTTGCCATGATGCTGTACTGGGAGTTGAGCCCAATCTCCCTCCCTCTACAAGACCCCACTGCAGTCTTTCCCACTGTGCTTAACAAGCAGCACAGAATAATTTTTTTTCTTTAACACCACAAAGCATGCTTCGGTGAGGAGCAGTCGGGGTCCCTCTCTTATGTCCTCTCATGAAGTTCTCCCTTCCGTGGCCTGGCTATTTTGGGACCCTTGAGAAGGCCAAGTTCCAAAATGTACCATAGGGAAAGATCTTATTTCAGACAAGGCCGGCCAGCAGCTCCCTGGGCAATGCCATCTCTCACCAAGGCAGCGTAACACAACCCTCACCATCCCCTCCTCAGCATGGAGGATCCCTCCACAGGGGATCTAATGGTCTGGGTCACATGTACATATCTGAGTACATCGGTATTAAAGGGAGTGAACCTTCTTTAAGGAGGTGTCTCTCGATACACCTGTAATCCTAGCACTTGGAAGGCTGACGCAGGAGGATTGCCATGAGTTCGGTGCCAGCGTGGGCAACGTCAGTTCAAGCCTGGACTATATAGTAAGACCCCCCCAAGGCATCTCTACACTGAGGATCTATGAGACTGCCAAGTACAATTTTTGCTGCAAAACTGGTCAAAAGGACAGGAACCACAGGCTGATTTGCAGTTTGAGTGAAGAGACCATTAGTTTTGCAATGTTGCTGTTTATACACAGATGTGGGGACCAGGTGGCTGGCCATGGAATTTAGCTCTTTCAGACCCACCAACTGCCTCACTCCTGCTGAGTCCTTGCTCTAGTAAAGCTCCTAAACACAGGAAAGGCAAGGGTGTCACTGTGTCCTTGGGGACACTGCAGACAGGCACTTGGCACTCTCAGATTAGAATACCCACGTGCTCAGGGCAGCAGCATTATTTTAGTTTGCTTAACTCTCAGGTCACTCCTCTCAGGAGCAGGAGTGGATCCAGGCCTCACATTCAGAATCCAGCTCCTGCTGTGAGGGAGGCACCAAAGGGTGCCAGCCAGGGGTACTGAAGAAGTCCTTTATTGCTCAGTCCTGAGCCACAACATTCCTCTGGGCAATGTGTCCACTAACTGGGATTTCCTTCCAGCTGCAATCAGGAGCCTGCCTAAGTCCTGTGAAATCATCTGTGCTGGCCTCTCAGGGCTCACTGTCTCCTAGCCATATTCAAAGCCTCCGTCACTGCACCCACTCAAAGCCAAGCAGCTAGCAAGCCTGGACTCCCCCATCCGACAGCATGATCGGCCCCAACAGGTGTGACCTCTGCACTGGGGGCCAACAGGATGGGTTTACAATGCACAAAACAAACAGGAAGCAATTTACAAAGCAGCAGAGGCTGAGGTATGAGGGCAATGCAGGGCTTTTCAAGGGTGGTTAGCCCCAACAGGACCCAAGTTCATTCTTGTCTCCATTAGTAACAGCCCTGTGAGCCTGGATAATTCTCTTACCTCTTTTAGCCTTCATTTCCTTCTGTAGAAACCAGAGTAGGCAATGTCCACTGTGCAGAACCACGATACAGTTTTATAAAACACACTAAGAGGAACACCCAAGCCCATGACAAATATGAGCCCCTTCCTCAAAGAGGCACAAGATTATGCTCTTGAGGCTTCCAAGTATCAAAGAAACCCAAAGTGATGGATAAAACTAAGTGATGGCGATAGGGATAGGTGGTGACGGTGTATACCTATGGAGAAATCTATCAAAAGCTACACTTCCCTGTAGCCCTATAGAGCCCACCCATACTACCCAAATCTAACAGGTTAGTCTAACAGGTAAGAGTTTCCAACCCCACGCCCCTTGTCCCCTGCCAGGGCCTGAGATCCTCAGACAAGCGACGAAGTGGCTCCTTGGGGAGAGCCCCGGGATCGGGAAGGCTATAGAGCTGGTCCACATTTTATGCAACTCAGTGACTGTATTTCATTTCACACCTCACATGAAAGAGAAAAGGGAAGAAAGAAGAAGGAATGAAATGAGGGAGGAGCACTCATCCTGCTCAAGGACCATGACAGAGGCTGTGTGCTAGAGCTGATGCCCAACTTTGGTCTTTCCAAAAGTATCGTGTCTAGGTCAGGTCACCTTGGGCAGCGTCAGTGTGGTCACTGTCAGAGCAGCAGCTGGAAGGGAGGTTGGACAGAAAGTACTGAGCCATAGGAGAAGACGAGGCTGGAGGCCCACGTCCTGTCCTCAGAGTTGCTGATCATCACGGTGAGACAAAGCCTCAGCTGGATGGGAGGAGCTGAAAAAGGAAAAACTAGGGCACATCAGAAAGTGAGGGAAGAGGTCAGGGATGAGTAAAGAGGTGATAGCACAGCAGGGCAGAGACACAGGAGGGAATGGGAGGACAGAGGGGAGAGTGGAGGAGGCTGGCAGAGCCGGAGAAAGGAAGGAATGGGTTCTCCACCAAGACTCAGGTCTTGAACTTGGAACTGAATGGAAAAAATCATGCTGCCAGCAGGCACAAGCTGGATGGCCACGAGGGGAGGGCAGCCTGGAGGCTGCTTTTCCTTACAACCCTGAGGTCTGTGCTCCAGGGTCTGCATGAGTAAAAAAAACTGCGTCTTTCTGTGAATGTCACATTTGAAAGGAGTTCCAGGCCCCCTTCTATTATAGGGTTTTGCCTTAGGTAAGCAACAGACCGCACTCACTTCACAAAACAGACAATTAACACTTGCACTTGAATGAACAATTTAAAGAAAAAATGAAACTCCTGTGCACAATAAGGTCTGCGCTGGAAATGCCAAAACCTCTAAGGTTCCTACTGCATCTGCACTAGTCTTACTGTAGCCTGTTTTTACCATGTAAAAAGCACCATCTGAGGAGTCACGCTGCCCATTCTATCTTCTATGGTGTTTTCATCATAATCTTGTTTTAAAAAGATGTTTTCAAATGAAAAACAAGTGCAAGATTTATAATTCCCCTGGACCAGTGGTGGTGAACCTATGGCACAGGGTCACAGCCAGCTATCTGCTGTCACTGAAAGCTCTAAAAGGTTTGTCATCCCTGCCCTAGGACATGACTAAAACCTATCCTCTCAGTCCATTAAGAAGTGCTCTCAAGTTCAAGCACATATATAGAGATGGCTTCTTGGTTACACCAGCATTTTGCAGCTCAGACTCTCTGCCTGCCCTGTCTAGACTTCAACAGGGACTAAGCAGTCGCTCTGTGAGATCATGTGACAGGCAGTGAGGTACAATCACAGCCACCAAGCAAATGACTCCTGATTCTCCTCTCCTCAAGACCAGCCTGCATGCAGCTCAGCTCACTATCCTTGTATTTGGGTAAAGACATCAGGAAGACATTCAAGATTCAATTAGGAAATAAGAGCCCCAGAGCCCCACGTTCACTGCTTATATCTCAGTACTCTAATTTATAAAATGGATGAGTAATTCTTCCCCCTTGTTTGCATATTGCATTAAAATCCTCTGAGGTATGTCTCGGGGCTCCAAACAATTCCATGTGTGAGTCGGCAGGAAGAAAAAGCAGGAACAAATCACCCAAATTTGCCCTATAAGAGTTAAGACTTTATTATTAAAGAAAGCCTGACTCTGAGCCTGGGCCTGCGAATGGGCTTATCTGCTGACGACCATAGCTAAGCTTCACTGCTGACTTGTAACAAGTACACAGCCAGAAAGGGAACAGCTGGGAGACCTGCAAGAAACTGTACTTGGTCCCACTTCCTGCTCTGCCCCAAAATGTGTTATCTAAGCAGCTTGCATCCCTTCCCAGGACCCCAGTTTACTCAGCTGTAAAATCCAGGGAAGGCCCAGAAATGTTCTACAAATCTGTGGTTCTCCATCTGTAGGGGACAATGGAGCACCCAGGAAACGGAAAAAAAAAAAAAAACAGACTCTAAGGACAGCTCAACTTGGTCTACCCTAATAGGTAGGTACATGAGGACCTTGAGCAATGGGTTCATGTCAGCAACTACTGGAATTCAAGGCACCCAAAGTCTCATGTACCAAACGAAGAAGAGGCTGAACACCAACCTCCAGCCAGCAGTCCTTGAATTGGGGCAGGGAGAGTGCCCTGCCCAGGGTCCCTTTAGTTGTGCACCTATTGATATGTAAGCTGAGAACATTCATGGGCCGGTGTGGGAAAAGGGTTTGCGCTGGCCCATCCACAACTGGAACCCTCTATGTTAGTGGTCCTAGGAACCCTAAAAACAGTCTGTCCCCCATCAGCTTTGAACTTTGGCCCCATTAGTGAGTGCACTTACTCCTAGGGCTGCCCCATAACACTTCTGACTTGACAGCCCCAGAGCCTTAAGTAGGACACAGATTTTGTTAACTGGGTTTTTAGGCCAGAAGAGCCTTCACCCAGGTCAGGTGTTGAGTTTTACTAACACTTCAAAATTAAAAAAAAAAAAACAGATGGAAGAAAGAAGTAATCCTGGAACTTTCCCTGTAGCTAGGGTCTAGGTAAAAATTAAATGGCTTGGCTCACTTTGTCAGGCGGGAAATAAACACGAAGCTTTCATCTAATTCATAGAGTTGAGCTTCAATATCCTACAACTTTCTGCTTAGTACAACAGGCCATTACAAATAAATTAGCATTATTAGTGTCAGTCTGATATATAAACAGCCATTTGTATCCCGATTAGTGAAATGGATGTCCATGTGTGTTTTTACAAGAGCAAATTTTTAGAAGATGAAACATCATCATCTCTCTTTACAGTTGTGTCTAGATAAGTAGGAATTTTCTATTCCTGCAAGCTGGCACACCGGGCTCCAATCTCTCCCTGCTTTTACCAGGCGGTGACTTCTTAAAATCTTCTTTTTAAGATTCAGTTATTTCAACTCTAAAAATCCTCCTATCTTCCAGCAGTTTATGAAAGATTTCAGCAAAATAAGGCATGAGAAGGTCTTCCTCAACTCCAAGCTACCTCCTGCCCTATAGAATCCTGTTGCTTTATTCCCTACCTAATCACTCATGGGCCAGACTTTCTCCAGCAGCAGTTGGTTGGTCCTATTGTTTATGAGGCCCAGTTCCTCAGCTGTTCTTACCAAGTTGGTAAAAGCCAGTTAGAGCTGAAAGTCTCTTTATGTGACAGTCTTAGAAGTATTGATTAGCAAGGATGCCATTATCTCTGCTGAACACTAACCTGGAAGAAACAGCCAAAAATCTATTCTAAGGGCCCAAGCCCTGAGCTCTGCCCTCTCTCCAACAGAGCAGGGGCTTGCACAGAGAAGCCAACACCCCATTGCACTGATGGAGTTCCTCTAAATGATCCAGAGAACTAAAGGAGAGAGGCCAGGCCGGGCTGGGGCACAGAAAGTCCACCAGGGTATAGAACATCCGCTGGCATCTCAACACCAAAGGGCTACAAGTGGTCCCCCAGCTAAACATGTCCACTGGCAGCTGCTGGTTACTTCCCTGGCTACAGGAAGGGCTAGAGTCTTAGAGCCAGCCTCCAGCCTCCCCACTGTCTGCCACCTCTTGTAGCCTTCTTCAAGGATTTCATTTAGCAGCTGTGGCAATAGGATGGGGCCCAAGGTCACACAGGAAGTTGATATACAGGCAGACCGAGAAGCCCAGTTGAGGGACATTTACATCCTGAACCCACAATTCCAGGACAATTCACACTACCAATGTCCTCTTCAGAAAAATAAAAACAACAAGGCAATCTGCTTTAAACAAATTAAAGCCAGGAGTCACAGATAGAAAAGTACCTGAAGCCTCCACACCAGGAAGAAATCCCTGTCTGAATTGAAAAAGCCCAGGACGGGACCACCCTCACTTCCGGTACCTTTCCATGGCATTCTCAAAGCTGTGTCCCATACAAAAAGCGAGCGTGCTGGTCATATGGACATTCCATTTGTTGGGTGGCAAGCATATAACATACTTCACCAAAAGAAAAAAAATCCTCCAATTCATCACCAGGTGAACAAGGAGAGACCTTTTGTGTGACCAGCAGTGAAACCCTTTGGAAATTCCTGGGGTACTCTTCTCCCCAGCCTAAGCAGCTTCTCCAAGCATTCTCCCCGTGACAACCACAGTCACTGGCCTGTCTCAGGCAGAAGATCCTAGCTGAGTCAATAGACTCGTGGAGCTGAGGATTGGTTGAGGGTCCAGAAAGCCCAACAGCCTTCCTCTCCATACCATCCTCAGAAGGGGCTCAGGAAGCCCAGGACAGCACACCAGTGGGAGAAATCAGTTAAGCTTGATACAAGGGGAGTAAGAAAAGATTCAGCTTCTGAGAAGCAAGACTTCAAGTCTACCTGAGAGCTAAAAGACCAGGCTTGTCATCCGGGGCAGCCAAATGCGTAACTGCAGACACCATCCTAACCTATAGCAGAGGCTGTAAACACCTCCAGGGACTACTCATACTCATCCATTCAATTTGGACTAGACACCTTCCAAACAACATCTCGATTTGGTTTCCCAATCCTGCTGAGTAAGTGCCCATTGAACAGAACAGGACAGGAGAGGAATGAGTTCTGGGTGAGAGAACAATTTACCTAAGATTTCTAGAACCTGTATATCTGATGGTAAGGTCAGGCATACGCTAACCCTTTTGCTATCCCTTCCCTGCAGTACCCATGTACCATAACATTCACGTGTGATTAATGGCTCCAAGCCCTTCCTGTTCCTGGGGTAAAATGAGGCAGGAGAGAAAGCATTCCATTTCGCCTGGCTGAGCTCGGCTGAGGTTCAGAGTTGGAACATTCAAGTGCCCTGGGTCAGGGAGCCACCGATCTGTGCTGAGTCATCGGCCCAGCCATGGCAGGGCGAGCGAGGGAAGACACTCTGAGTCACCACAGCACCAAGACTGCACTAGCACCTGGCACAGGGTCACTGTCAGCACCGGGGCTTTTGCAGAAAAGGATTCACTCTGACCCAGCAGGATGGCTGGCCCTGTTCTGATGCCGAGGGGGAGCCTCCTGCACTGATCCAGAAGGTTCAATCAACCAGCAAACTGACTGCCTTTTCTTCTGCTTACACAGGTGCCTTCCTATCCTCCACTGTTTGGATTTTTTAAACCATTCATTCATGCACTCATTCAAGAAGAATTTTGAAAATAACTAGGGGAAAAATCTACCCCTGTAATTCTACTTTAGTGGGCATTGAAGAAGTTATTTTGAAATAGGAAATGTTTGTTCTCCAAAGGGATGCTGAGGAATTTTCAGCAAGAAGTAAGTCTCCCCTCACTTCACCAGGGCACAGCCCTGTGCTGAGAGATTTGGACAGCTGAGATGTTTACAGGCTCCAGACACAGGCCAGGGAGCAATCTGTGACTCTGGCTTTTCTGAACTAAGAGTGAATAAGAAGCTTTGTATATATACATGTCTGATCTTACTGTCAGCCACAAGAACAAAACACTAGAAAGACCCATTTTCCCAGTGCCCAGACTTCTGTCTGTGTAGCTGTGTCTGGCTGCTTTAGGCTCCCAGCTCCTCCTGCAGTACTGCTGGAAGATGCTGTGTCACTGATGGGAACAAAGTAGAGCTTTTCCAGACCCATCAGGAGGGACTTAAAAAAAATCAATGCTGACATCATCTGTGCAGAAAAGGCCATTCAGAAAGTAGTCAAAAGGACAGGCCTCTGGGGACATCTGGAACCAGGGACAACACTGCAGTGCTGAGGGACCCACAGGATTCCCCTGACACAGACACCTATCTATATATCATAAGGGGCAGCTTTTCTTTAATCAGCCTGTGCAGGCCCACAGAGAGTCACTTGTTTGATTTCTACTAAGCAAGGGTACAGGCCCTCCTCAGGCACTGACAGAGAGATAAACAGATGGACTCTGTCTGTCCAGCTCTCGACAGGCAAATGAGCCATGTGCCCACCTTGTGTAAAAAGATTTGAATTAGGGTAATATGGAGTCCAGAGCAGGGACAGCCTGCTTCTGACTGAGGGAAGGAGGATGTATTTCATAGAAAAAGGCATTGAAGTAAGTTTTCCTCTATGGCATTTAAAACTGTGACCTAAACCCAGTGGGTACTCAGTACATTTCAGATGAGATGAATAAGTGATGAAGGTTAGGACCCATCTCCTAAGTTTAGACATAGGCTTGGGAAGTGGGCCAGTATCTCTGACCAAGTATACAGACAGATTCAGGCTGTTTACCACCTGGGACTGAACCTGGGGAGACCAAGTATGAAGCGGCCTGGCTCACTAAGGGCAAGAGTGTCTGTCCCTCCTGCAGGACCCCAGACTGGTAAAGCTACGACAGCCATTCTTTTACACCAAGGGCCAAGCAAATTCTCTCTTTGAGCTTTGTTTCTCATGCATAAGACACACTTAGTAGTTTCTCAGAGAGTTATCTTGAAGATTTAAAGAGACAAGTTTTGTAAAAGCACACATCCATATCTGGAACATATGTATCAATATGTTGACAGATCAAAATAATTACATCCATTCCTTCCTAAAGAAATCCTTTCTGTTAAGCTTTTGCACAGTGCCTGGCTTCCTGAAAAGCTGCCAAGGTTGCAAAGATAGCTTTATAGAAATATGTGAAGACTTAATAACACCAGACATCACACAGTGTCACAAGTACCAGACTGAGAGACTGAGATCAACTTCTGCATCTACAAAATGCAGGAGGGGGAGGGCTGGGGATTTAGCTCAGTGGTTCTGCAACCTGCCTCGTAGTTACAAGGACCCGAGTTCAAACCGCGGTACCCCAAAAAAACAAAAAAACAAACAAAAAAACCAAGAAAACAGTTTGTTAGCTCAGTGGTTCTGGCACCTGCCTCGCAAGTGAAAGGTCCCGAGTTCAATCCCTGATATCAAAACAAACAAACAAACAAACAAAAAAACCAAAACAAAAATGTGGGAGGGGAATTGGTGACTGGCCACAGAAGTCTGGCTGAGTCTGAAGTCTGAGGCAGAAATCGTGGCAGTGTGGAGCTGATTCATGACAGCCCAGAGCTAGGGAGAGGAGGCTAGCAAATAACACAGCCAAGTGTGATGGAGGATTCACTGATGTTGGTCAATTCCAGAGGGTCTCAGAGGTTCCTAATAAGCAGGGCCTTTTTCTAGCATCCATATTAAAACAGCAAAACTTGAAGGAGAAAGACAGGCTTGGATTATCTATGGTTTCCTACTTTGGATGGTAAACATCAGAATATCATTTTTAAATGCCAATAAAATGAAAAGTAATAAATACATAGAATGGTTTACATAAGGCAACTGCGTGTCATTCCAGAAATGAGGACAGCACTAGTCAAGCTTCATAGGAGGTATGAAGCTTTCTGACTCACCACCAGCCCTGGTAATATCCCAGGCCTGGCCACCGTCAAATGCTGCCACAGGTTCCTGCCTATGGACACTACTGTCAGAAAGGGCACACTGCACAAAACAGGGAACACTTTATGTTGTCAGAAGTGCAGTCAGTTTTGTGTGAACCAAACAGGCTGTTCTTTTGTTTTGTTTTGTTTTGGTTTTTTGAGACAGGGTCTTACTATGCAGTTAAGACTGACCTGGAACTCACTGTGTAGCCCAGGCTGGTCTTGAACTCACAGTGATCCTCCTGCCTCAGCCTAGCCTCGCCAGTGCTGGGATTACAGATGTGCATCACCACACCTGGCTTAGGCTGTTGTTAGAAGGAAAATAAAGGTGCTGGATCAGCTGGGTTCCCAAGGCACGTGGCCATGCTCTTCATCTGCCCCCGGCTCCAGCAAACCGCTGTCCGTCCAGGGCAAAGGCCTCTCCTCAGCCATGACTGAAACTTGCTGGAAATGAGGACGATGGCACAACAGTTGGCAGTTGATCTAGAAAGTGCAGAATGACCTCATGTTTAAGAAAATTCAAGGGTTTTTGCTAAACCTGAAGCATAGTAGGTCCCTCCATAGTAGGTCTAACTCAAAATATTTCCAATTATCTCTGAAAGGATGTTTCTACTTCTGACAGTACCCAAATGTAAGAGGACAAGACAAGACAGAGGGAAAGGCTCTGGTTCGCTTCTTCCTGGGGTGTAGGAAAAAAGGTCTGACCACATTCCCATTCCTGCACAGCCACCCTGCCAGACTCTGCCTGGGACTGTTGCCACCCTCTCTCCACAACAGCAGAGTCACCTCCAGAAGCCCAGGCACAAAAAGAGTTTCCCCAAGAAGGAAAGTGGAGGCTGGGCAAAGCTCGGCAGCTCAGATGTGAAGCAGACATAGTTTGAGGGAATCCAGGGCCCACAAAGGCACACACTACGTCATGATTTCCCCTCTACCAAATGGAGTAGAGGCCCTTATGACTCACAGCAAGTTCGACAGAATCAGCATCACCAGAAAGATTTGTGGACTTACAGATTTCTGGACCTTACCCTGAATACTCAGATTCAACATGGGATATGGGGGGCGGGCAACATAACTACAATTTGTATTATTTAAAGGAAGCCCTGAAAGTAGCTACGTTGGTGACCTCCAAGATCCACAGAGCAAGAACAGCACTGCTGTGAGACAGAAGGGTCTGTCTGTCATCCCAGGGAGGTGGAGAGGGACCAGTACTGCAGAATACCTGGCCCCTGTTTTCAGGGAGGGATACCAGAGGTTACATGGAAGTGTGCACTTCCTGACTCCACCGTGAATGCTAACATCTATCTCCACAAGGGAAAAATCTCAGGCTGCTAAAAACTTGCCAGGAGATTAATGGGAAGGCTAAGTGTGCAGAAAATTGAAATCCAGGAAGGCTGCAGGTGGGGAGGTCCCGGGGCTTAGAATGGTATCGGATGAAGCCCATATCTTTGCCTCTGGTTGTCCCACCTCTGCAGTGATGGCAGGACACTTGCCCTGGTAAAAAGGGGGAGGAAAGACCTGCTCAAACCACTTTAGGGGAATGCGGAGGATCCCCTACGAGAGGACAGAGTTTAAAACACAAAGTGTGAGTCATTTTCTTCTTTATATAAAAACCATTTCTTTACCAACTTGATTGTTCTATAAATATCCTGAAGCTGAGACCTTTCCCAAAATAGAGCTTTCTCTCCTCTTTTTTTTCTTTTTTTGGTACCAGGGATTGAACTTGGGTCCTTGTGCTTGCAAGGCAGGCGGCAGAACCAATGAGCTAAATCCCTGGCCATTTAATTTACTCACTGCTTCTATTGCTGAGTAGTGGTATCTCACTGTAGGCTGGTTTTTGTTTTGTTTTTGGCAGGGGGGTGGGTACTGGGGATTGAACTCTGGTACCTGTGCTTTCGAAGCAGGCAGAACCACTGAGTCAAATCCCCAGCCCCTTTTTCTCATCTTCATACTCAGGTCTTTTTATTGATTAATAGGAACGTGATGTTCAGAGGGGCCTCTTAGCTCAATTCCCCCAAAACAGTCCTTTTCTTGTTATGGATTAGGAACCAATTACTAAATATAAAACAACACTGAAAATTTCCCACCATATTTAGTCTGGAGTAAGGTATAATTCACATAAGTGAAAACACATTAGTCATCCAGATGTTCTGTAATTATCAAAGCATGGGTTTGAAAACAATGAAGGCCAGATGTGAAGCAGGAATGGCTTAAGGGATTTGGCTCCTATCTGAACATTAGTTTTCTCTTTATGCTTTGATGCCATGTCAACAAATCTCAAATAGTGAATTTTGGAAAGAAAACTCTTGTTTTTGAGTTGATCACATCCAGTCACCAAAATCTAAGCAACCATAGCAGAGGTCAGAGACCCAATATTCATTCTCACAGCAGAGAGAACAAAAAGATACTCAAATAGGCTGCACAGTTTAGTAAAACTTCAAGCCACTTCTAACTTCCAAGTGGATACACTGCCACAGCCTTTTATTAGGACATTCACAGAGCTCTCTCCTTGTTATTGGCACTAGCTAGTGACCTTCAGAAACACACTTGAACTCTGCATTTCTTTTTGTGTGTGTGTGTGACGGGGTCACAAAGTTGGCAGGACTGCACTTAAAACTGCAATCTGCTTGTCTCATCCTCCTTTATCATTTCTTTTTTTCTTTTTTTGGTACCAGGAATTGAACTTGGGACCTTGTGAGGCAGGCAGCAGAATCACTGAGCTAGATCCCCAGCCCCTCCTTTATTATTTCTTTATCAGTAAAATTAAAGTAAAAGTAAAAGACTGAAGTAAAAGACCTTTAAGTCTTTCAACCTGAAAATTCTGACTGGAATTTTCAAATCAAATCTTCCAGCCTAGGATTTCTGACTTAGTAATTCGTATTTTGTTTGTTGAGCACAAAAAGAGCAACTCAACTTGTTTTCTTTCCCTTTTAAAGAGCTTATAAAGCATGGTCTACTCCATCCATAGGGTGGATACAGGAAGATACCAACTTGCTAGGTAAGTTTCATGTTGAAAACAAAGTACTGGCAACGTATATGTTCAAACTTGATCTTCACTCCCAACAAAGGGTGCCAGCAGATTCTGCCTGCCTCATCTATAGAAATAGGACCTCAAAAATATAGCTGTGTACCACACTCAAGAAGTCTGCAGTATGAGAGCTGGTTTAAAGGAATACAAGTTTCACCCAATATAGTAATAGGCTGAAGAAACACACAAAAAGGTATATATCATTATGCCCATCCCAGCTAATTACAGCCTCTTGTACTAACCTTCAAAATAAATATACAATTAATTTCTTGTAAATGTAAACTGCTGAATATACAATGTCTCACTTTTGGGTAGGTAGAGGCTTTTTTTCCCCTTGGTGTACTATTTGGGATTGAACCTAAGGCCTTCATGCTGTGCTACATTCTTGTCTCTTTTTTTTTATTTTTTAATTTTATTTTATGGGGGATTGTTCTTTGTTTTTTTGGAGACAGGCTGGCCTTGAACTCACAGTGATCCTCCTGCCTCAGCTTCCCAAGTGCTGGGATTACAGGCCTGTGTCATCATGCCTGGCTCCAGTGTAATATTTTTAAATCGGGCGAGGTGGTGCACGCCTGTAATCCCAGCACTCGTAATCCCAGCATTCGAAAGGCTGAGGCAGGAGTGCTGTGAGTTCGAGACCAGCCTGGGCTACCCTAGTGAGGTCCAGGTCAGTTTCAACTACGTAGTGAGACCTGTCTCAAAAACAAACAGACAAACAAAAAAACCCAACAATATTTTTAAGAAAAAAATAGTGCAGGCTGGGGATGCATCTCACTGGTAGAGCATTTGCTTAGCACTTGCAAGGCCCTGGGTTTGATCCTTGGCACTGCCAAAAATAAAAGTGCATAAAAATGAAGATGAAAAATATAGGCCTTTTTCCCCCTAAAACTATGGTTTATATGCATGTGGGGGTGGGGGTGGGGGTGGGGATCACACAGTCTAAGTAAGCACTCTACTACTGAGCTATATTTCCTGAAATAATGGTTTTTAAAGCATTTGGTAAGTTTTTAAATCCTCAAAATAATTTATAAAGCTGAGCATTATGGCACATGTCTGTAATTCCATGTCTGTAATTGCCGGTGCAATGTGGATGAGACTCTTATCTAACAAAAAAAAAGTCTGGATAGAGGACTGTCGTAGCTTTGGGGGGACATCTAGATAGAAGCTGTAACAAGTACTGAATGGTAGGTGGAGCTTGGCCTAGCATGTCCAAGGTCCTGGGTTCCATCCCTAGTAACTCACCCAGCTCTTTACTGCTTGTATTTTTGTTTTTTCCAGGCAGTAGTAAGCTACTTCCTTTAAGTATATTTATGTTCCCAATTTTCACCTTGAAAAATAACCTCGAATCTATGGAAATTAAGAAATCAATATATTAATTACATATTTTTAATTATATTTTTTAAGTGAGAAGAATCCAAACTTGTATTTTCAAATTTCCATGCTCTTCATTTCTATATCACTCCTTGGTTATTTATATGCTGAAAGCAAATCCTAAGTACGAATTTTAATACCATAACAAGGAAGGGAATGTATGCCATTAAAAATACGGATCATTCTCTTTCTCTCCAGTGTGAGGCAATGTCGCAAGGCAATGGCCAACAATGACAGTCTCCAACCTCTCTAGTTTAGAAACTGCCTGGGAGAAAAGCACCTTCTTGTTTTTAAATTATACTAGAATATCTTCCTAGTGAAAGCAGTTTCAAACAATAATACAATTTTAACTTCAAATATAGAAAGTAAAAATCAAGAGTATTTACACCAGCCTCCTGAGTCACTCCATGCCCGAGACCGGAGAGTAGTCAAGATAAACCTCAACCCAGTCGCCGAACTGGAAGGTGGGCTTCCTATCACCCCCACCCTGGCTGCGAGCGACCCTCGAGTCAGCCGGTGCGCGCTGCGTGCAGAGACAGCAGGGGTCTCGGTCGCGAGGCCGGGCGGGCAAGGAGGCCGCG